CACAGCAACACTTCCATGTTTTCAACACACTCTTCACATGTCCTCCCACCTTTCCCCTACCTCTGTCATCTCCTTTTGTGTGCCCACCATTTCTTAGGCCAGCAATTTCTCCTACGCTCCATTACCCCTACTCTCCCCTTGTGCATTCCCTTTCTCCTCTTCTATTTTTCCCACATTTTCCCATTATGGGATTTGTGCGTCTCAGTGCACCAATGCTGTCATGCTTGTAACACCGACTAAATGCCAAAATAGAAGCAACCAATAATTAAGATGCCTGTGCTTACTTTTACATCTGATATTCAGTATAATTCAGCAACATTTGACCAGGAGTGCTCTCCTGGTACCTATAAAAATGTTACCAAGCAATCATAATTCAAATGTACATTAGCTAGGAAATCAAAGACTGAAACCAACCACTTTTCACATTAACCTTCTGCCTGGCTATTTCAGTAACCAGACATCATAATGGGAACATCCAGATTTAATATTTCAAATGGAATAGCTCAATACAAAAAGACATGAAAAGCAGCAGACCCAAGAAGCATCTCAGTGCAGCAGAACCCAGGTATCCCTATTATGTGCATATCCAGAATAGGGCATCTGCTTCAGGTATGGAGCTCTGGTTAAAAAAAACATTATTTTAATAAAGAGGGGATTTTACTTTGGGAGGGTTGGTTGCAAAGTGAAAGTCACAATAGTCTGTTTAGTTGGCTTTTCCTTGCTTAATTGTGGTGGACTGCTTACTGGTACTAGTATCATAATGATGAATGATAGTTTAGGCAATGCCAAACTGAAGATAACAGAGTGGCTTTGAACATCCTCTTCTGCATGTCCACCACTTCATGGTATTCCTTGTTGAGATTTCACAGCACTAGCACAAACGCAGACTTAAAATACCTTAGGAGACAGTGGCTGAAGAAGTACTTCAGGGATGTCCTCTGAGAAGCACAAGAAAGAATAAGCACATTCTGTCTAGAGAAAAGGTAAATGCTGAAGGATATTGCCAGGTTTTTCTGGCATTACAAAAGCTAGTTTCAAAAGTTCTAATAGCTTTCATGTCTAAACATCATAAACAATTTAATCTTAAAACCAGGATAAAAATTAATGAAGCATGCTGAATCTTTCTACAAAGCAGAGAAATAAGAACAAATCTTTGAGAAGACATAGCACATAAATCTCTGCTTCTGCACAGAAAGGCAAGAAGATGGATTAATTCCATGAGTAGCACAAGAGAACAGAAACAGAATAAAAGAGGCAGCTGAAAATAAAAAAAAGGAACTGCAAAGACCAAAGACTCTTATTTAAACTCCTCGGCTTCAGTAACAAGTAGTGCATGACAGTTGGTCAATAAGTGTGAGAAACTCTCTCAAAGGACAAGTCATGAGAGGACTTCTGACATCTCCACAAATGAGAGTTGATAAGAGACAAATAATTCCATTTTTTTTCACACATTTCAAAGTGCTTCCACATCACTTGTACAGGAGGTAATTTCATCAATCATTAACTGTGCAGTTCTGGCAATTCATTTGGGTCAGGTTCAGCACCTAGCCTTTAAGGTCCTTTAAGTTCCAAAGAGTGCCTGGCAGGAGACTCCTGCCAATTGCTTTTAAGCCCCAGCTCCATACTACTCTGAACACTGGGAGGCAGAGGGAACAGGAAGCTCAGGAAGCAACAGGAGCTATACAGCTCTCCTCTCCAGTTCACCTAGCACGTGAAAGAAAAAAGCAAACCAATACACACAATCAGCCAGCACTGCAGCACTGGAGTGCTTCAACTGCTCAATGGCACTTACTTACAATTGTGTCCTTGGATACAGTCTTTAAATCACTTTTCTCATTAGGAAGCACACTCTGGCCCAGGTCATTAGCTGTGCAACGTCAGCAGGGTACCAAAACAGCTTGGAGTCCAAGTGCACTAGAGATTAGTCTTGTTATTCAACACGTCTCTCAATCAGAACAAAAACTCCCCCTAAAAAATGCATCTAGTGAAGGGAAGTGGTCCAGCACAGCCCTTAGTACTGCACAGCACATGGAGTGCTGGATTAATCTAATTACACTCCTGGTGCTTTTTAATGGCAAGCTATTTAACAAAACACAGAGCAATGACAGAAGAGCTGACTCTCACTTCTACAAAAGATAATTAAAATTTGTTTGGTGGAACAAAAGACAAATCAGGGTTGGAAAAAAACGTAGTTTTCAGTGGTTTTTGACAATCTCTCTATTAAAATGGATTAAATGTAATTATCCTCTTTTCTTCCTCTGTTGATTCTGAAAATGACACCAGATGATAAATTTTAGGACAACATGCAGCTTCATTTTTGCTCAAACCTCTATTTTTTTCAAGCATGTAATAAAAAAACCACAACTTTTCTTCACCAACAAGTAGCCAAATGTGATGAAGCACCACCTGCAAAGCAGATGAAGACTGACAGAATTTAAACACCATGGTGTTCCAGGTGGGCAAGAGACTCATTTGAAACGGAATAAACAGTGTGCCAATAAAATAAAAAGTAAAATTCCACTGGTTGGGAAATCAGAGTGCACCAACAGGTCTCTTGGTTTAGTTGAGACCAATTCTTCATCCCCTTTTCAGTTACCAAGTCCTGAAGCCTGATTTTGAGCACTGACATCTCACAGAGTAACTTCAAATAATCTTGGACTCCAGCACTCCTGAAAATCTGGCTGCAAGAGACACATGCAAAACCTCCCCTTCTTCCAAAGCAACAGCTTCTACAACAAAACAGTCATGGTTACTTGGATCACTGATGCCCCCAAAGAGATGGCTAGAGGCTCATCCTTTAACTACTCTATGTATTTTCAGATGTGCCAGGTTTCTGCTCTTGATCCCCATGCTGCTCTCTCCAGTTTTAAAGACCAAGTGTCAAATATACCTCCCTCTCCCTGTTTCTATTTTTGGTTTTCCCAAACAGTCCCTAATGAAAAGATTTAATGGACTAACAAACAGGAAGCGAAATGAAATGATGTCAGGATCCTTTCAGAGTTAAGCTTAAGCTCTAGAACTAGACTTGATGGGTAAACTTCATGCTTGTTTAAGCTATCACAGTGTATTTAAAAGATATAGGGCTTTATGCTCTGTATGCTTTTAGCATAAAACACATCTTAAAGATGTAGCATAAAACACATCTTAAAGATGTTTCTAGTTCTGATGCTTGCTAATGCTACTGCATATAACAAGTGCTAGAAGTGTGCAGAGAAAACCACACATCTTTGTCGAAAGCATTTATACTCTTTATAATTCTGCATGTTGCTGAAGCATTGTTACCTGCTTATCCTAGCAGATGAAAAGCATACGGGTAGATTTCCAGGTGTCTCACAGAAAGAACGAGAAAACCAGAAAAAGTTCTGTCTGTATTCTAATCACAGACACAGCCCTGAGGGACAAAGGCTTTTTCTTTGTTTCATTATCTTTTAACAAAAATCCCCTAAAGAGGTGGACACTTTACTCACTTTGTGAATTTATAAACAGTTTCAGGTAGGTCAGTTCAAAACATTTTTACTTTTGTTATTAAGTCTCAAAGGCATTTGAACAGAAGGGAAAACAGATTTTAGGCTTCATTTCAAGATTATGATTTAATTGAGGACTTTGGCCATAGATATGGGGAAGAATTAGAACATTATAAAACAAGACACATGAAAATACCAAGCTGATTAGAAATATGTGAAATAATGTCTACAGAGACAGTGCTTAGAAAATGGGAGGTTAATGGGAAATTGGGTCACAAGTTGCTGAATGCCCACATTGTCTTTTAAAAAACAGATGAATACTTTAAAGGAGAATATTAAAAAACTTGGGTCATAGGATCCCAGACTGATTTGAGTTAGAAGGGACCTTAAGACTCTTCCAGTTCCAACCCCTGCCACAGGCAGGGACACCTTCCGCTAGACCAGGTTGTTCCAAGCTCCATCCAACCTGGCCTTGAACACTGCCAGGGATGGGGCAGCCACAGCTTCCCTAGGCAACCTGTGCTAGCGCCTCAGCACCCTCACTTCTGCCTAAGAGCTCATCTCAATCATTTCAATCTCTGTCATTTTAAAGTCAAATTACTGTTTACACATGAGTAGACACATACAGACATGGCAAAAGCAAAACATGTAGTCATACCCAGAGAAGAAACATTATGCACAGCTCTCCCACATTTCTGCCAGGAACAAGGGTAAGTTGTGTTAACAAAATAAAACGTGCACATGAAAGACAGGATGATCAGAAAGAGGATAGACTGGTTAACTCCAGGTACAGCACACCCACTGGTATGAAGGTCCAAGGGGAGATCATTCACTGAAACATGATTTCAGTGAAGAACAGAAGATTCACTGGGCAATTACTGTGAAATGGATGAAAAGCCAAACAAGGAAAATATGAAGCTACAGGAAGCTAGATAAAAGGTTGGCATGGAGCAGGAGGAGATACACATGTGGATTATTCAGCAGGACACAAAATACAGAATCTCACTGAACTGATGCAATTCATCAAGTCAGGATATAAAATTTCTGCCAGACAATACTGAGGTCACCATATCTGAGCTTTCACTGACACTCTTTGCTGTTCTCATTGAAGAGGACACCTATGAGGGAATTTAAGACCCTTGAGCTGAGAAGCCCTTATACGTCAGTCGTTGGCAGACCATAAAAACTAAGCTCCTAATAACTCTTACAACATACTTTGTATGTAGCAAAAGGAAGACTAGAAATGGTGAAAACATTCTGCATGAACAAGAAACAGCAACTGAAAATAAGTAAGGGGAATCACAGACTGGAAGGGGACATCACTACACTGGTTTAACTTCACCAACTCAAAAAATAAAGCTGTCTTGTCCAAGAGCAGTCACATTTACTGGCTTGTCAGTAACCTGCCAGTCACTCAGAGCTGACTCTACAACTAGTAATGTGCTGTTTTGGTGAAGGGCTATTAAAACACTTTCTGTTATAAAGCCAAGAACTACAGGATCTACAGTCTTGCTGAGCATTTCTAAGCTGTCTTACCTCAAACATTTCTTGCTCTGTCCGTCGACGATCCTCCAGGAGCTGCTCCAGGTAGGTCAGATTACGGAATTTTTCTAGGTAACTACTGTACTGTTTCTGCAGTTGCTCCTCAATCTTCTCATACTCATCCATAAAAGCAGGACTGGAGAGAACAAGCACAAACTACTCAGTGAACTATTGACCTGTATGAGCAGAATTCTGAAAGAAACATTTTCATGTTTGCTGCTTCCTTTCCAAGTCTAAAAGCACCTTTTGTTTTTAAGGTTCCACACTACTTCAGAGACTGAAAGCATAAGACAAAAAAACCTCATTAAACTCTCCCACAAAAATTACACATAGCAAAGGAAAGGATATTGTGCACTCACTGCCATTTCCTTTCAAACAGGCAGACAGGTACCATTTTGGCCTTTTTAGCAGGCAAACCTAAGCTAATTTATTCTGCTGTTCCATTACTTCCAAAAACATAGCTTGTAGCATGGTTGGAACATCACCTAGTTTGCTGGAGACTTCCTTGCTACAAAAACTATGCTTACTTACTACAAAACCATGCTGGAAAAGTGTAACTAGACTTGACACCAGTAAGTGTGGATGTCCTCATACTGGAGAGCTAACTGTTGCACCTCAAAGAACAGTGTCTGCTTAATGCTTCACATCTACCCAATACACTTCCCCAAAAGCATTCCTGATCAAAACATGTATATGGATCAATGTAATTCCTTCTGCCATGTGATTTTCTAGTATTTCCTTGGTTGGGTTTGCTTTTTTTTCTTTCATATTAGGTCAAAACCAGAGCATGATCTGTTTATGCAATCAGAGAGTATATAAACCTGCAGTTTAATTCAGGGCAAGAAATCAACCCAAAGTGTGAATCTTATCATCTTCATTTCATGGTAGGATGGCAGGCAGGGTCACCGCCAGGAGCAACCCATCCTAACAAGGGATGCCTAATGAGCCCAACTCCGGCCACATTTAACAGCCCTGAAATTCTGGTAACAGAAAAGCTAACAGTTACAATCCAAACTGGGCATTTCTAGAAAAGAGAATTTCTCTCTTCCACAGGGCATGATCCCAGGCTCACTATAGACCTCACTCCTCACTGCTCTAAGCATTAACAATGCACAGTCCCATCACTGATGCAGTAGACAATCGGTTCCTAATCTTTACCGCACACTTTGTAGAGTCTGGAGCCTCTTTTGGCTTCTTTCCAATTCCAATTTCCGTTTTTCAATCTTGGCTTCCAAACTGGCTTCATCCAAAGCCACATTATTCAACATATCTTTAGTCTTTTGGACTTCTTCCTAAAAGAGAAGGGTAATGAACCGTGGCTTGCACTAGAATAATAAGAATTATCTTTAAGATGTGGTGCATTCTTCTGTATCTCACATTTCTTGTTAGCAAATAATATTCTAACAATGAGCTAGAAAATAAATTGAGTAGTCAATGGAAGCTGAAAATTCTCTGTGGTCAGGACAGGAGTGAGCTAACTGGACATTTGCAAATTTTAAATGTCTGATTTTTTATTTTTTTCCCCAGATATTCTTAAAGAAGAACAGATAAAACCCACCCTAGCAGCTTGCCCTAGCTTTAACTGTTAACTTTTCCTTTTCACTGAAAAAGTAGTAACAGACAGGGAGAAACCTCATAAAAGTCTGACAGGATATGTAAGAGCATCTCTTGATGTGTAGTATCTGAATAAACACAGATGAGAAATTCATTTACTTCGTGGTACAATTGCAGGGAATTTCAGGTTTCCATCTTCTTTCTTTGCTTTCTTTTTTTTTTTTTTTTTGTCTTTAAGTCACTTTTATGAAGAACTGACTCCAGATATCTTCATCCTTTTCTAAGTCTTGCTTTATCCAGCTTTTCAGAATCTGGAAAGCATCCCTAACATTACAACACATGCTACAGGAATCAGGAGGGAGATGTGAGAATATTCCAGTTTATTAGAACAAGCTGAGTACATTCAGTGTGCTCATGGTCAGGAAACCACAAACAATTTTTGAGTGAAAGGGAGGGTACACACTTGCTGAAATTCCAGCAGTAACTGGTAGGTGCTGCTCAGCTATAATACATCATTTCACTAACAGGTCCAAAATTAACCCAGGTGAGGTACATTTTTACCATTTCCCAAGAAACAAACTGCTCTACAGTGCTGCTTTTGGTTTAGTAGCACTGCTGTGTAGAATTGCAATGTACATTAACATTTAGAATTGGTAGAGACTGTGAGTAGGAGCAGAAACATAAGGAAAGATTGTCTGGAGTATCTATTGATTATGCATTAGCTGTTTAAATGTGGAACTCCACTCCTTGTAATTATACGATTGGACTGGATATAGTTTGCAGTTAAATAACTTCTAGTAATCACTAGGATTTAATTAACCACCATACTTGCACAGTGGCTGAGTGCAGCTAATGGCTTAGAAACACAGGAACCCAAGCACTGGAGGAAGGAAAGTGCTGCCAACAACTGCAATAGACAGAAGGTCCTCCAAAAGGAGAGCCATAACAAGGCACTGGCCTGGCTCTAATCAGCACACTTGCCAGTTCTCACCCCTTGGCAGCTCAGCTATCTTGCTTCCAGAGCCCAACTTCACAACTCCAGAGGTACCAGCACAGTTTGAGTTAATAAGTACACCCCTTGCAGCCCTGACTCTGTAAAGTTCACATGGCTTAGGCAATGTAGGCGAGATGGAGATTTTTGTGCTGATTTAGGCAGTTTTTATCCCTCCTGTAGAGCTTTTGGGGCTACCACTGAGCTCCTAACAGAGGAGGGAATAGGACTAAAATGTGTTTTCTCTCAAGAGGCCAAGGGAGGCCAAGTGCAGTTCTTTGACGCACCAACAGGAGGAATATTTCAGCATGTTGGACCACTGCCGTTATACAGTATGACAGTGAAAGCACAGCAGGTCTTAACATTCTCCTAGGTGCTGCTGCTAGCATCCTTCACCCTTTCTGTTGTAGGCTGTAACTTCTGACTGCCAGCTCACAGCCATCACTGTGCTGATACCTCTTGACTCTGCCAGGAAAGCTATCAGTTTCCTTTAACATGCTTGTTCACTTTTAACACAATTGGTTTCCAAATGAACCATGAGGACCATCACTAACTGTACTCATTACCATAACACAAGGAGTCAACAAAGAGTGATCTCTGCCTTGCTGAGCTTCTGTTAAGACACCTGATGTTACCAAAATACCAAAATCATGAACTGAAACTCAACATTAACCATTAACTAACTAGGTGCAGCACTACTTGGTCCAGCCAGCTAAAGGTGATTTGTCCTTCGGCACTTTTAACCCTAGGCTGTCAATAAATACAGCTATGTTCTTCCTACAACAGAAAAAATAATAGTTTTGCAATTAAATAAGTATCATTTTGCTTACCATAACACAGTTGATGGCGATTTTCATCACCTTCTCAGCCTCATTTATCTCCAAAGGTCTAGCAATAGATTCTGTTCTTGCTTCCTATGAAATAAAAATACACCAATATATGTAAACATTATACAAAGGAACTAATATACGCAGAACTGAGGGTGGTCAAGCAACAGTGACTGTCTGCATAGTAAATGAAGGAGGATTTAGTGTTTATTCACCAAGGCTCAGATGATTTAGAGAACAGATGACGAAAAAGTCAGTTAAGTGAGGCCGAGATTAACACTGAGCAATTAAGGTGTCTTTTCAAAACAAGGTAAGCGCTACTGTCTGAACTGCAAGTATTCTTGAATGCAGATGTTTGGATCCTGTGCTGGTTATTACATGTTGAGCAACATGTGCAACATAAGCACAGAAGATTTCATCATCTTTACACTACAGCCCATGAAAACAACAGTGTAGGTAGATGAGTGCAGTGTCACAAAAACTGGGGAGCACAAGCACTGTGAGCCCATCTAACACAGCCAAGAGGCTGCCTCCCATACCCATATGAAATGAGATGATGCAGATGTATGGGTTTCTCTGATTCAAATAACCAAAATGTCCAGACTCCTCAAAAGAACATAAAACCAAAAACCAGTGATTCTTGTTGAGACAGAATCATAGAATGGTTTGGGCTGGAAAGGACCTTAAGATCTTCTAGTTCCAACTCCTCCGCCACAGGCATGGACATCACACACTAAACCATGCCACCCAAGACTCTGTCCAAGCTGGCCTTGAACGCTGCCAGTGATGGAGCATTTACAGCTTCCTTGGGCAACCTGTTCCAGTGCCTCACCACCCTCACAGTAAAGAACTTCTTCCTTATATCCAGTCTAAACTTCCCCTGGTTAAGTTTAAACCCATTATCCCTTGCCCTATCACTACAGTCCCTAATGAAGAGTCCCTCCCCAGCACCCCTATAGGCCCTCTTCAGATATTATAAAGCTGCTATGAGGTCTCCACGCAACCTTCTCTTCTCCAGGCTGAACAGCCCCAACTTTCTCAGCCTATCTTCCTACAGGAGGTGCTCCAGTCCCCTGACCATCCTTGTGGCCTCCTCTGGACTTGCTCCAACAGCTCTATGTCCTTCTTATGTTGAGGACACCAGAACTGTACACAATACTCCAACTGAGATCCCAAAGGATGAAAAAGAACCTTCCACTCTCAGCAATTTTGTGGACAGATGGGCTTAGGGATATCTCTCTGATATCCAACCTGGGCATTATATCATAGAACTACAGACTGGTTTGGGTTAGAAGGGACCTTAAAGCTCATCCAGTTCCAACCCCCTGCCACGGGCAGGGACACCTTCCACTAGACCAGGTTGCTCCAAGCCCTGTTCAACCTGACTTTGAACACAAAAAATGTTGGACTATTTATTTGCTACTGGTAGAAGAGAGGGGAGATTTTTGCAGCTAAATGCCTTAAAATCATCTTATGTTGGCAAACTGTTTGGTAACAGGTGGATAAAGACGGAAATGGCATCTCTCTAGAGAATTTCTGACTAAGACTCTAAAAATGCTTTGTGCACACTGCAACAGGCTGTATCCACCCCACTACAAGATGAATTCTGGAAGCAGACACAATCACTTTGCTGAGTTACCACGCCAGACCTTCCAGATTGCATAGCTAACACTAGCACATGTACCCCTGCTCCCTCCCCACCAACTCAAGTTCAAGGAGTTGTACAGTGAACCCAACAGGGAGCCAAGAAAAGCAGCTTTTGTACTGAGCTTATCCCTCTGCTGGATCACTTCTGTGAGCAAGCCTGCTATATGCTGCACAAAGGGGTTTTTTTCCTAGCAGAAGAAAAGAAGAGGTGGGAGGTGTCCCTGCCCATGGCAGGGGAGTTGGAACTGGATGAGCTTTAAGGTCCCTTCCAACCCAAACCAGTCTGTAGTTCTATGATATAATGACCAGGTTGCATATCAGTCCTTTCCAACCTTAACTATTCTATGATTCTATGAAGAAGTATTTTGTTGGGGAGAATGAAAGGAGTTACATCTGTTGGTGCCAGTGACAGCCTAAGCTTCTTGAAGTGCTTATGAACATTCCCTTGTCCACACAGAAACACAAGCTCCAAGCAGCAGAAACAATACACATTCCATAATAACTCCACAGACAGACAGTACTGGAAGAAGACCAGAAAGCTCAGTAGCTATTCTGAGAACATGATGTGTTTTACAAGCTCTACAAAAAGGTTATTTATTTGTGAGGACTTTGCCTGGGCTGAAATGGCAGCAAGGATCAGCCTGGTGAAGACATTGCCCTGCCAACTGTACTCTGTCCTGATGGCAACAGCAAGATCTCTGCTTCAGAGGAAAAATACTTCAAACAGAATAGTTGGGCACTCAGCAGGGGGAAGGAAATTATTTTTCTCCCCACTTTCAAAGGAGATAAATGAAATAGCAAGGACCTTAGGTTTTAATTATAACCAACTTCCTTACCAATTTCCTTTCAGTGTAAAATACCCTCAGAAAATGCACAAGTCACTGCAGCATGTCAGGTCAGGGTAACTGATGAGCTTTAGATATAATCCTGAGTATCCACCCTTTTAAGCCACAATAGTTTATACAAGTTTAACACCTTCTCTTCTACTTTCCCTCTTCTACCCATGGCAGCTTCACATACAGACCACAGGCTTCATGCACACCATTTTCCAAGACAAGATTCAGTCCTACAGTCACATTTGCTTGGAAAAATTTGTCAGGCTAATGAGAAGCAGTGTAAAGGCTGAAATTTGTATTTTCAGACTGGGGAATCAGGGCTAAACTAGAAAAGGAGAATGTCAGAGCAATTAACCTGCTTGCACGCCAACAGATAGAGAGGAGAATCCACATGGACCATTACAGTTCTGTACACACACGGCTCCTCCATAAGACTCTGCATTCGTATGTACATTTTTCACTTCACTGGTATAAACAGTCCCATTATCCTAATTTTGACATTTTTGAGTAGTAAATTTAAGTAAAAAACATAGTGAATATAATGGACTAGTAATATATAATGGAAATATAATGGAAAAGTAAATATATTTTGAGATTATCAAAGCTGTCAACAAATTTCTTACTGGAAATTCTTACACCTTCCCTGGGTACCCATCACTGGGCCATTCCCTCTTTCCCCATGAAAACTCTCAAAGAGAAAACTTTTATTTTTAATCTCTCTTTTCAGGAAAGACCCTGCAAATGGCCATATAAGAGAGGAATAAGAGGAAGACAGCTCATATTAACATGCCTGGATAAAGCTAAACACCCCACAAAGATTATGAAGATGTTGGGAAAAGCATTTACTTTAAAACACCAAAGTTGGCCAATTTAAACATTGTTAAGCCATTAGCAAATGAAAGACAATGAATTTAACACAACCACTCTGACTATCTGTGACTCCCCATAGGAGCAAATAAAGCACATTTCTCCTCCAGCCCAACTCTTCCTCATGGATATGCCTTATCCAATACAAAGTATGCAGTAACATGACAAGTGAGATTTTTAAAGCCTGGCTTTACACAAAGGCTCATAAGTTTGTGCTTAAATCTGCACAATAAAATAGGCTGTATACTTGAAGGCAAGACCAATTTTCTGAAATTGGTCCAAATAGCAGATATTACATTGCCACTGGCTGTACTACACTTCCTTGTGCTCAAAAAAGCGTGTGTAAATGAAACTGAGCTCAAAAATATGGTCTCATTCATCTTCTTGTAAAATAATGTACTCTTTACAATTAGGTGTGCTAATCAGAATACACATTATAGCACTCAAGAGGTTTCCTTTAACTATTAAAAATAGAGTTCTCAAGAGAGATGAAAAATACAGAAAGGAGATCAGAAGCATGACAGTTCAGGACTGTGCCTGATAATTACAATTTGAGAAAACAGACACAAAACCAGAGAGGTTTTCATGAACAAGCTGATAGTTTACCACTTAGCAGTGCTTCCTGCTCAAAGTGTCCAAGAGCTCACTGGCTATAGCTGTACATGATAAATACTAATTAAAAATCAGGGAAGCCAAGTGAAAAAATATTTCTGATGAACTAAAGCTGACAATTATCAAAGAAAAAACATGAAAGCACCCAAGACACACCATTTGTTGGCATTACTTATTCTCCCGGTTGAATATTTGGTGTTGCATGGAAAGACTGAGATTTTAACTCTTCAAGTTTTGAATCTCACTTTGAACAAAGCCAATTGGAAGCACTAATGAATTTCTTGGCTGGCTTAGACTTGAAAACTTTGTTTTCTTTGGAAATGAGAATTTCATCACAAAGAAAGAAAGATTTCAAACCACAGACACTGTCTGCCCAATGAAGCAGAACAGAGCACAGCCTGACAGAACATTCCCCACAGGACATGGGAAGTCAGTACTGAAGCCAGCTCTGCCCAAACTGCAGCAGTTTTAGCATCAAAATTTCCTTAGAGCAAAACTGTGCTGCAGTCATTTCATGAAATTACACTGATCTCAAAGCCTTCAAAACTCCATCTGTGTACAAATCACATTTAGACACTGGATGGAATTGATCATTAAACATCTTTCTGTATGAACTGGATGGTACAGGAGGGACATGAAAAATAATCCTGACCTTCTGAAGGAACCTGATACTTCCTAACAGCCTATTTTCCTCCTCAAGAGGTTAAAGGTCAAGAGAATTGAGAATTCTGCTGCTTTTTTGTGTGCTCCTCTCAGCAGTCCACAAAGGGAATCAACAGGAAGAGTTCCCTTCTCAGCAATGCAGAGCCCACTGTTTTTGATAGACAGTGTCCAAGCTTCACACCAGCTATCCTAACATGTACAACGCATGACACAGGAACATCTGAGACAGAGAACCAACTGGCTGTTCTGCAGACCAAAATGAATCAGAAGGCCTGCCTAGACAAGTAAGCTGAACATATGCTTTGTAACAGAAAAATCCCCTTACAAATGTAGGCATACAGGCTGCTGAGGCAAGAAAGGGAACCGTAAACCTTTCTGACAGCACGAAGGTGTGCTATTCTGTTGCCTCCAAGCACACACCACCAGGTTCACAGGTTTTCTGGTTCCAAGAGCTGATTCCAC